GATTATGATGCTAACAAGAAATCTAGTTGCTTTAATAAAAAAAACATACACTGTAAAAAAAATAACCGTGATTTTAACGGTAAAATACTGTAAAAAATGCTAAACAGAAAGTTTCCATACTATACACGGTAAATAAACTGTGATATAATTTTACAGTAAAATACCGTTAAATTTACAGTTTTGGAAAGTGAAAAAGAACAAATCATTGTATAATTTACAGTAAAAACCCGTAAATTGACATTCCCACAATTCCCTGTGTGACACTTCACATTTTATGTATTTTTTTTAAATAACTATGGTTCCTCATAGTTTTATTGTTTTTTTTCTAATCAGTTATGTACATTAGGGTTTTATGTTACATTTAATGTTGTTAAATTAATGTTTATTGCATTTTTTTAATTTCACGTGTGTTACCATGATGGTGCTTAATGTTTGTGTGAATGACATTAAAGTATTGCTTTATACAAGTATTCACTTATGATTGCTCATGTAACTGCTGTGATGATTGTTGGTTGTCAGTGTATTATAATGGTCTAAAACAGATATCAATACATCAATAAGTTGGTAAATCCACATTTTATTAAAAATTAAATTACGGATTATTACTGTAAATTTTAAGTTAAGTCTGTAAAACCATTAACGTTCTCTACCGTATTTTTAACGGTAAAGTTCTGGCAACCACAGCTGCCGTTTTTCCCCCGTAAAATTTACGGTTTATTTTTTACAGTGTAAATATTTAAAAGTATTTGCTTAGCATAAAATAAATGCCCTTTAGCATTTTTTTTTTACTATATTCTTTTATTTTGCCAGACAAATACCATATTGTTCTTCCCTCAAAATATCAAATATTTCCGCACATTTTGATGGTTTAATCAAACTAGCAAGGTCATTAAAAACAAATATCCCATCCAAACATCACAATTTGAAATAATCAATAATACTATAAAAATAAATGTGCGTGTTGGTTTATCTTGAGGGTTAGTTGCGTGCGGTGTAATATGCATGTTTTACTGTTTTTCCTACGGTAACTAACACATGTAGCAAGCGGGCACTGTAAAATAAAGTGTTAGCGTGAGTTATTACAGTGATGACTGACTTGAACACCATTAAATAGCCTGATGTTTGAGGAAAATCAATAGTGTTTAGTCAGCGTTTGCTATAAAAAGGCACTATGTATATTTGGACTCTGAAGAGTTGCATTATCTTCGATTGCACTTGCTGGAATAAACAGCCCGTGGCTTTCACGCCGTTTGTCAGTAAACACTCGTCCTCCGAGGTTTCTTCTGGAAGCCGATGCTATCAGAGGAGACGTTTCCCTCCAGACGATCTGTGGCGTTAATGGATTCTCAAATCCTTATCGCTAATCAAAGTCAAGTTCATTAACCAATGGTGCTCCATCAATTAGTGGGAGATTGCTAAACAGATAAACAAGCTAATTAAACTTTAATTATTTGATAGTGGGTTTGAGCAAACAAAGTGAAGATTGTGTTTCGTCTTCTGGGCTGTTTGCTGTGGCGTGTGGAAAATAATATCCACTTACACAGATTTATGTGCCTTTCAAATAAAACAGATTTAATCAGTCTGATGTTTACATCTAATGGAATTTCCCCAAAGTTATTCGCTTTGTGCGGAAATAAAGAGTGTTGATTTGTCGAATGAGCGTGAGCAAAATGAATCAGCATGGAAATGATCTCAGAATGTGCTTTTGTATGAATTCATTACAGAAATAATGAATATGTCTTCAGCAATCGCACGACGAGCTCGTTTAAAACATTCACAAATATGAAAAGCTGGCAAAACACCAAACGCCAAAGGCGAGCAAGATAAACACACACACAAACAACATGAGGGCGAGTAAATGTTGTGTATTTACATGTACAACAGGAAAATGATGAGAGAGAAAGACACCTGTAGAGTTTAAGAGCAGCAGATGGTCTAAGGGTCAAAGGTCATGCATGTTCAGTGCAAAAATCTAGGGCTGTGAAAGTTTGTGTTTACATAATATATGTATGTAGTGTGTAGCCTATAATTATTGTGTATATATAAATACACACATATGCATGTATATATTTAAGAAAAATGTGTTATTAATATATCAAATATTTATGTATAATATTAATTTCGTATAAATGTATATACATGCAAATATTTCTTAAATATATACATGCATGTGTGTGTGTGTTTTTATATACAACGTAATTATACACACTACACTGTTAGACCTTACCAGGTTTTTTACAGTAAAATACTGGCAACACTGTTTCCAGTAATTTACTGTAAAAATGCACTAAAACTCAAGTTAACTAAAAAATACAACTTATTAGTTTTAGTGCATTTTTACAGTAAATTACTGGAAACAGTGTTGCCAGTATTTTACTGTAAAAAACCTGGTAAGGTCTAACAGTGTACACACACATATATTACGTAATGTAAACACAAACTTTTATTTTGGATGCGGTTAATCGCGATTCGAAACACTTTTCCGGTGGGAATGGACTGAAGGTGTTAATGAAGGCGTCTGAAGCTCATCAGCCCCTCAAACGAGCTCATCGTCTGCTAATCGTATCTCCAATGAGCCGCGGAAAACATAAATTGCTAATTCTTTCCCTCATTATCATTTTCAGGGAGTTGGACGGTCCCACACACAGCTCTTCGTTTCGTCGCGTGAACCTGAGAAGGCTCGACCTGCGAAACAGAAGCGTTTAATTCATTTACCGCCCTGAAATGAGTCTCATGCATAATTGATGCAGGTTTGTTCAAATGAACAAAGTGAAGTCATGGGTATCACTGTCATAAACAGTGACAGTTACAGTGCTGTGCCAGTTCATACTTAAAAAGTACGGTTCCTTCGTTAATGAATAACTACACAAGAACTAATGAGTAACACAATATTAACAATCTAGTAACTATCATTAACTAACAAGAAACTCTGATTAACAAACTAGTAAGTAATAGCGCACAGACGAAAGTGGTAGTTCACTATTAAGTAATCAATAACTATTTTTTTAATATGTCCCAGAGAACTACTGAAAACGTTTATTAACAATCTAGTAACTACTATTAAGTAAAAGAAGCTCTTATTAACGAATTAGTAAGTAATAGCTCACAGATGAAAGTGTTACTAGATACTTCTGTGGGAGTTACTGATTATTTGGATTCATATTATAAAGTGAAGATCATTGGAACTAACTAGTAATTACTCAAGTCTTACTAAAGACATTTTCTACAAGTATACTAAAGTTCACCAAAAATCTCCAACGTTTGCACAAATCATGACTAGATCATGTAGTAACACTTGAGTAATTACTGCTCCACATTTTTTTCAGTGTTTCGTGGCTCTGGCAGCGCACAAGACGACCCTTCCATGGCGCCTCCATATTATCCAATGTAATGGTCTATACTAGCTTTTGTTACTGAATGTGATTTTATTTTTATTTTTTAATGTGACTGGCTGTGTGTGTGTGTGTTTGGGGTTTGATCAGTCCATGATAAGACTAACATGCATCGATTCATGCTCATCGACACACACACACACACACACACACACCCTGAGGGATGGATCGATCAGAGAGAGAGACGAACACAACCGTCACAGCAAACACACACACACAACACGCATGAGAAACTACAACTCCTCCATTTCCTTTCATCCGCTTCATGTGAACGATTCCTCAGTCTTTACAGTCTTTCATCTAACGCTGACATTATCGGACGAGAAAAAACTCAATTGACCTGAATAATTTAAACACTCTTTTTAAAGCTGCTTTACGGCTGAAATTGTGTTTCATAATGCATGAATTTTGCAATATTATTGCTGTCATTTTTCCGTTTATTACCGTGAAGCTGCTTTTAAACAATCTTAAAGATCTTAAAAAATAAAGTGCACAAAGGGGAAGAACAATTTAATAATTTGAAGAAGCTTTTTTCAGTATAAAAGACTCAATGGATGTTTCGTGTCAATGCCAATAAAAACCCTTTATTTTTAATAAATGTGACTTGACTCAAATGACTCGCACCATAACGACTTTCCTTTCTAGCTGATGTCACTATATGTACAATAATGCTCTGTTCTCATTGTTTAACAATCATTTAATGCTAAAGGTTACACTCTAAAAAGGCTGGGTTGTTTTAATTTTAACCCAACTTTGGGTCAAATATGGACAAACCCAAACGTTGGGTTATAAATGTAACCCAATGGCTGAGTTTGTCCATTTTTGACCAAAAGTTGGGTTAAAACAACCCAGCATTTTTAGAGTGTACAGTAATAGGTTACACTTTATTTTAAGGTGTCATTGTCACAGTGTAATTATGAGTGATATTAATTATGTACTTATATAGGGTTAGGGACTGTTTAAGGGTTATTTGCATGTCATTTACTGTTATTACTATGGTAGGTACACTCTAAAAAACTGCTGGGTTATTTCAACCCAAATTTGGGTCAAATATGGACTAACCCAAATGTTGGGTTAAAAATATAATTAAAAAATTTACAGTTGAAAGTTAAAGTTGAAGACTTTAAATTACGTTATTAACCCAACATTTGGGTTAGTCCATAGTTGACCCAAATTTGGGTTGAAACAACCCTGCATTGTTTGGAGTGTATTATTATTTGTGGTCAAATCAGTGTCACTTTGAGCAAATGATTTGCATTCTCATTTTAAAACGAGCATTTGTAAATATTTCAAATAAAAGTTGCGCTCATGCGGTCCTAATAAGCAAACAACGTGATGTCATAAATGATATACACTCTAAAAATGCTGGGTTGTTTTAACCCAACTTTGGGTCAAATATGGACAAACCCAAACATTGGGTTAAAAATGTAAAAATAAAAATTTAACCCAATGGCTGGGTTAGTCCATATTTGACCCAAAGTTGGGTTAAAACAACCCAGCATTCTTAGAGTGTACATGTACCATATTGTATGTAACAAGTACACTGTAATGTTGGAAAGTTTAGGCCACTCTCACATGACAATGTTCTTGTTTGTGAAGTAGACCACGTCCCAAGATGCTTTAGTGCAAGAAGAAGAAATCTCATCCAATAACAGAGAAACTGCATTTAAGAGCTCAGCGGCTGCTAGAAACAGCCAATTAACTCCTGCCGTACCTCCTCGTTTAACACGGTAAATCCAGACGAGAACAGGATTGCTTTTCTTGATTGCACATGAAGGCTTCAGCAAACCGACAGAACGTCTTCATCAAACACAGAGATGAACATGCGAAAGAGCAGAGCACACACACAGTTATTCACTTTTATTTATTCACAGAAAATAAGACATTTTGGAGAAAATCTGATTATTTTTTGGAGAATATTAAATGGAATAAATATTTAATATTAGTAGCTTATAATTATTTATTTGATGAAATCTGATAAATTGCAGAATGTTTGACATAAATAAAATGTGAATATATGAATGGAAGAGTTGGTTGTGACAATAAAATTCTCTATTTATTTATAAATGTTTTTAATTGCCTCAGCTATACCGTGCAATTCACATTTTTTTTATTTATAATTTTTTCCTTTAAAGTCTGTTCCTCACACAAAACTATCATATCGACTTGTAATAGCACATGAGCCATGACCTTCTTCAGTTATGGTATTTTAACTGTTTGACGACCTTAGAAAAGAGCAGCATGAAGATCCTCGGCATCCACACATGCAGGTTTGAAATGACATGCAGGAGAAATTGAAATAAATATTTAATATCCAGGTGAATTATTTCTTGCCAAAGTACCTCCAGTTCTCACGTTTCCTCTCCTGTCGCTCTCAAATCTTGAGGATCCATCAGTAGTTTCCAGCGTTCTGCAATATCAATAAATATCAATGAGTTCCTGCCGTCAGTAAACGGTGTGACATTTCCCAAGGATATTCGCTTCTTATAAGACAATGCCGGTCTGAGTTTCAGTCGATACTCGCGTCCAAGGACAGACCAACCAACATGTTTCCTCCTATAGAGATGAAGGATGTTCTGAACAGCACATATATATATATATATATATATATATATAAATAATAAAACTGACTCACCGTTCATACACAGAGAACATGAACGTGGGCCTGATACAGCAGACCCTATACTTTCTGTGGCTCTTTATACTTTCAGTTCTTAAAGATGACCTTTCTGCCACAGAACGGGCGATTAGTAATGACAATATTTCATATCTGACACATCAGTGAGAAACATTTTAGTGTTATGAAACTTTGAAGAGTCTAATAATATAAAGTTGACAGTTCTGGATGAGACACATTCACTGTCAAACAGAAACACCATCAGCTGAGTAGACCAATCACAACAGACTGAGTCATCTGACCAATCAGAGCACAGTAGACCAATCACAACAGACTGAGTCATCTGACCAATCAGAGCACAGTAGACCAATCACAACAGACTGAGTCATCTGACCAATCAGAGCAGAGTAGACCAATCACAACAGACTGAGTCATCTGACCAATCAGAGCAGAGTAGACCAATCACAACAGACTGAGCCATCTGACCAATCAGAGCAGAGTAAACTCTCAGAAAGGAGGGGTTTAGAGAGACTGAATCTGTGAATTAACTCAGACTCTTTGAGAAATGTGAAGTGCATGATAAAATTAAAGTGTTTTGAAAATGTAAAAAATTGTTTTTGAAAAAACAAACAAACAGCCAAATACATTATTTTTTTCATTTCTATTTCGTCTCTCTATATATCCAGGTTACCAGGATGAAGCAGAAGGAGTTTCTTCGTCCATTAAGAATGAGATGTTCCCTCCATCGCTCTTCAGATTTATGACTGGCTGTAAAAAAATCCCTTTGAGGAAAAAGCTGAATTTATGTGGCATTCTCTGAACTTCTGATTCTGCTAATGCTCTTGACATGACCGTAATTTCAGCTCGAATAGATCTAACGCTGGGGAGTGTGTGTCGTCAGGGCTGAGGACATGTAGAGGGGAATCCAGGTTCACTGGGACACTTCTCATCTCAATGGCAAAACAGTGTCCCATCACCCTAAAGTCAGCCCTACACCCCATCAGTCCTGTGTAACGAATTAACTCGTTAATTCAGAAAAAAAGCCAAAACTTTTTTCCACGAAAAATTTTGTAATTCTGCGATAATTAACTAGTTAATTTAGAAAAACAGCAAAAACTTTTTTCAATGAAAAATTCTCGTAATTCTGCGATAATTAACTCATTAATTCAGAAAAACAGCAAAGAATTTTTTCCATAAAGAATTTGCGTAATTATTTGATCATTAACTCGTTAATTCAGAAAAACAGAGCAAAAACTTTTTTCCACAAAAAAATTCTCATAATTCTGAGATAATTAACTCGTTAATTTAGAAAAACAGCAAAAACTTTTTTCCATGAAAAATTATCTCGTAATTCTGCGATAATTAAATTGTTAATTCAGAAAAACAGCAACAACTTTTTCCATGAAAAATTATCTCATAATTCCGAGATAATTAACTCGTTAATTAAGAAAAACAGCAACAACTTTTTCCATGAAAAAGTATCTCGTAATTCTGCGATAATTAACTCGTTAATTCAGAAAAACGGCAACAACTTTTTTCCATGAAAAATTATCTCATAATTCTGAGATAATTAACTTGTTAATTCATAAAAACAGAGCAAAAACTTTTTTCCATGAAAAATGATAATTTCCGTTCAATTTTCATTCTCATTAATTCAGAAAAACTGAGTAGATTTTGTTTCCTCAAGTGAATACGAATAAGTGAATAAGTATATTATATATATAATATATATTATCTCATTATCTGTGGAGTCTATATACACATAATAGTATAATAGTATATTGTTTATAACATAATAGTGTATTAATGTATTATAATATAGTACAATAAATAGGCTTCACAACTAATAAGAGAATATTGGAGCGTCACAAACTCATTTATGTGGATTTATTTATGAGCTTATTATTTATGGATATTATATAAGAGATGCACCCTCAACACATTCATGCCCTGCAGAAAGTTCCTGTTTGGTGTGCGATTGATGTGAGCCGCAGATCACATGACTGTCCCTGCTGTGTGAACTTACACACACAGATCCTGCTCTATGCATTATGTATGTGTACAGTCGCAACACATGCACTTTGCGGAGAACATGACTTGAACTGTTTGGCGGTGAGTTGTGAAGGACTTGATTTCCCAGGAGAGCCGTTTGGTCTCTGCGTGTGCGTTTGCTGGGAGAGGGGACGGCTCCATCCCGCCGTTAAACGGCATATTGGTATTTTCTCTTGAAAGCTATTAAAATAGACACCGTTTCACATGCATAATTACAGTGCGGTGATTGACTGCCACGCATTTAAAGCAGCTCTTTGCTCGTAAAAATCATTTTAGCTGCTGTTTCACAGCTAATATTTGGCCTTCGACTTATTTAGTAAAAGCGTAAATCCAGCCTGAGTAGAGGCTAAGTGAGCGCTGATGGGTTCAACAATCTCAGATGTCCCTTTCTGAAAATCGCAAACTTCAATCTATGTAACCTCATTTTTGCCACATTAGGAGGGATCATACTTTGGTAAATCATAATTATGATATTAAACACTTTATGAGGTAAAATGACAACATTAAGACATGCTAAGTTCAATGACAAACCTCTGAATAGTTTCAGTAATCGAATATGGCAATGTTAATGAATTGGGTGTTGCTAGTCTCAGCCTCAGACGTCACGCCCACGGAACGTTGGCTAAACGTCTGATGCATATGGTACACTTAACTGGAAACACTTCAGGAATGTCGAAGTCGTCATCTGATTGGTTGAATTTTATCGGATTTCCGGGGGGCGTCAGTGTCGCGTTTATTTTCGGTCCGCCGGGAAACAAAGCGCAGATGTGATTGCGGAAGAAAAACTGTTGTGTTTATATGAGTGGCCTATGTGAGTGACAATGAGCATTTCTCAAGATCAGCTAAACGTAGTTGTATGTCCCCTCCAATCTATTATGGAAGATCAAGTGAAGTACTTAATTGCGAAGGGTATATCAGCTGCGTTTGTGGACAAACATGAGACAGACGCTGACATCGCAGCTGGCCGATTCAGTATTAATATATAGGTCGCGCACACTGGATTATAAGGCACATAAGATACTGCAGAGTCAAACGTTTGACTGGGTTTGCGTTATGCATCCACTAGATGTGCTAAAGGCTAAAGGGAATGTAGCGAGTGCGCGGCGCCAGAGGTGAGGCGTTTATTTAGTAGGCGTGAGCGCACTGGGGCGGGGACGTAACTTACATTCGTGTGACAAAGCGGACATAAGATGGACATGAGCGAGTTCGTGGGTGAATTTAATAACACGGAGCGTTGTTAGCGCCTCCGGTGACTGCTGACTGACTTGTTGCACACCGGTCTGTTGTTGTGGGGACATTTCCACGCCCCGAAACATGACGCTGAACGAAACGAACTGTAATTGGTTGTTTGACATGTCGGTCTAACGGCCTTATGGGCGGGCCTTGACCAAAGAAAGCTGCTATGAATTCCAGACCTTCAGCCGTCAGTCTGAAGGTCTGGCTACGCGAGACTAGGGTGTTGCAGACTTGCTGCTACTAATAGATACACAGACACACACCGCTGCGAGTGTGTAAGATATGCAGATCTAGGCAGGCGGAGCTCGGGGAGGTGGAGGGGTTCACACTGCAAACACTGCAAACACTCAACCAGACTGTTTAAAAGTTGAGCAAGCAATCTGTTAACATGCGCTAGCATTGTGTATTATTAGCATGTTGCTAGCATGCTCAAAATGTTGATAGCATATTTTCAACAAGATGCTAACACAATTAACATGTTGATAGCATGCTTAGCAAGATGCTAACACAATTAGCATGTTGTTAGCATTGAGCCGAACATGATTATCACGTTGCTAGCATGATGCTAACAAGATTACCATGTTGTTAGCATGGTTTAACAAGATCCTAACATGATTAACACGTTGCTATCATGTTTTCAGTTAGATGCTAACACAATTAGCATTTTTTCTACCATTTGATTAGATTAACACGATTAGCATTTAACATGTTTTAATCCTAAACAAATTGCTGTTAAGATTTAGCTATTCACTGTTGCCTTTGGCAAGCACCACTAATTAATAAATAGACGAAAATTTGAGTTTTTGAGTGTTAAAACAGTTACTAAATTGCTAATTTTAGCTATTAACATTACTGAACAACAACCTGTGCAGATTCAGACTAAAAAATCTATAGTTTTATAGGCAAGACATTTATAGAAGATGTATTTTTTGTTACTTTAACGTGCATTGATAACATGCATTAAGAAAGAAAATCGAGTCACTTCTTCATTTCTATAACTTGTGTATAAAAAGCAGCCGGCAGCAGACGGTTCATATTCAGTGGTGTGTTTCACAAGCAGATTTGCATTTGTAACCTGCAGAAGTGGGCCATTCCCCTGTAGAGCTCCAGGAACGCACATCTCTCATTGTACACATCTTAAACATGTTACATAAGCCACGCATCTGTGTTACATAAGCATTCTGAATAATAACACAGCGGGTGAGGAGGGACAGAACATGCAAATAGTGTCTGCAAAGGTAGAAACACACATCAGCACACACACACTCAACATAATAACTATCGTCAGTAATATTTCAAGATGAACACCAACTGCATTGAATCCACACGTATATGTGAGCCGGATCTGGGCCAACACTGTATCTATCCGGGCAGCCGTCTATTATTTACCCTCATGAATGCTGAAAGCTTTCCTTGTTTCATAACTCATAACTGGAATAGCACTTCGATGTTTCTGCAAAAGCTTCAGCAGCTTCTGACTATCACACACATGATGTACCGAGTACCGACACTCTTGTGTTAGAAGTTGTGCAAACTTTCAAAGCGTTTGAGCAAACGAGTGCTGAATATCTGCACGTCGAAAAAATATTACGTAAAAAAAAATACGGTAAAAACGGCAGCTGTGATTTACAGCAATTTACCGTAAAAGACGGTAGCAACATTTTAGGTTTTAACTCAAATTTACAGTAATAAAATATATTTATTTCTAATATAATGTTAATTTACTGATCTATCGCAATACTGAAATGTGTTTTGTAATATTGTAATACACTGACAACCACCAATCACAGAGGAGATGCGAGTCACATGATGAATCAAAACTCATCACAAACAGCTTTTCACACGCTGAGAGATATAAAACTAATATCTAGAAGCTGCGCAGTGTCATTCACACACACACACACACACACTAAACATCACGGTAAAACATGAAATTTAAAAAATGCGATAAACATTCATTTATAAACATTAAATGTAGCATAAATCCCTACACTCTAAAAAATGAGGGGTTGTTTCAACCCAAATCTGGGTCAAATATGGACAAACCCAAATGCTGATTTAAAAATGTAATTAAAAAATGTACAGTTGAAAGTGAAAGTTGAAGTTCGATTGGGCCAAAGTTGAAGTTGAGTCCATATTTGACCCAAAATTGGTATTTTTAGTGTGTACATACGTACATACACTCTACACAATGCTGGGTTGTTTTAACCCAAAATTGGGTAAAATATGGACAAACCCAAATGTTGGGTTAAGAATGTTATTTAAAATTTTAACCCAACTTCAACTTTCACTTTCAACTGTAGCCTACATTTTTTAATTTATTTTTACCTGAACATTTGGGTTTGTCCATATTTGACCCAATTTTGGGTTAAAACAACCCAGCATTGTTTTAGAGTGTATGTACGTAGGCTATGTACACACTAAAAATGCCAATTTTGGGTTAAAATATGGACAAACCCAGCCATTGGGTTACATTTTTAATTACATTTTTAACCCAACATTTGGGTTTGTCCATATTTGACCCAAAAATTGAGTTAAAACAACCCAGCATTTTGTGTACATAACTGTACTGTAGTGTACACTCTAAAAAATGCTGGGTTGTTTCTACCCAAATTTGGGTCAAATATGGACAAACCCAAATGTTGGGTTATAAATTGTATTAAAAAAAAATACAGTGGAATAAGAAAGTTGAAGTTGTGTTAAAATTTTAAATTACATTTTTAACCCAACATTTGGGTTTGTCCATATTTGACCCAAATTTAGGTTGAAACAACCCAGCATTGTTTAGAGTGTAGAAAAAGCTAAGAAAAACTATGAAGAAACAGTTATTTCGACAAAAATACATAGATTGTGAAGCGTCACGCAGGGAATTGTGGGAATGTCAATTTACGTTTTTTTCATTATACAATGACTGTAAATTTACAAAACGGTACATGACGGTAAATTTACAAAAACTGTAAATTTAACGGTATTTTACAGTAAAATTACATGAAATGCCCGGTTAGCTCTATCACAGCTATTTACCGGAAACTTTCTGTTGTTAACCAATTAACAGTTTTTCACCGTGGCATTTTTACAGTATTTTACTGTTTTTTTTTTTTTACACATTATGAGCCACAAAAACTGAAACAAGTAAGAAGAAAAACAAGTAACTGGCACATTATTATGCTTTGTTGTTTTACAGCGGGTGGTTTTAAACTTTA